CAAATTTGTCAGGAGTTGTAGTTTCTGGGGTATGGTCGAGGCTTTTAGTTCCTGATTGCCGATAAGTATCTCATTTTCTTACTTCACGTAGTTTCCTTTTGCTGTATGTAAAGACGACAAACGACACCGGCAGTGTTTTGTTTCGAAAAGTATATAGTGCATTGTTAATGCCTGAATATGAATCGATATAACCGCCTCCATTCTGCGTATTTTCAATGAAATGAATGGCCTATAATTTTTTAGCTTTTCCACATGATGAAATGTGCGAATTCAACTCTGAGCAGCAAAGGCAATCTCAAGAGGAGGAAGAAACAGATGCAGAAAAACCATGGGAAAACGATAAAGGTATTTTGAAAATTGCAGCTTAAACAAGCTTATTATAATTCATTATTTTCTTATAAATAGTGTGTAATTAACGCACCAAATTTCTGTTGCGGCTGGTTATGTAGCGTGCACTTGTAAATATTTTGCTCTACGTAAAACCTTCGCTCTTTCTTCTGTGTAACTCATATTTTCCTTAATATGTTTGTTACCTTTCAGAATTTGTCCTATCTGATGTGCGAGAAACGATTAGCTAAATATAGGTGGTACAACAGGATAAAGTGCAGTAAAACAATGGACTGTCTTAACATTAGCCTCTACTGCTGCTGTGCCGCCCACATGATAGTTTTTAACTGCAGTCCGGTTCCTTATCTGAAAAATAATGCCATTGACTGTAAATCATCTGATTCCATGGTTCAAGACATCAAAGTTGGTAGAATGATTCATTCAAGTCCCTGCTGCAGCCGTTCTTTCATAAGGCGATCAGCAGTCGTTGGGTGGTATTAATTGCGGATAGCTGGACCATAGACTTGTTGCCTTCAATTTACGTAGTAATCACCATAGACATGCTGGTTGGTGATTGATTACATACGTTCAGAGTAAAACAAGAATTGTTGTCTCTGCTGTCTGTGACGCTTCTTAATTGGTTGCTCCAGCCATTCAGTGAAGAGTGGAGCTACGCCATACGTCAAGGTCAGCATCTGCACGAACTGTCTTGCATGTTAACGTTACATTGCCACTAGGCAATATTAGCGTGCCTATAGGAGCGTTCTAATTTGAGCTTCGATTAACTTAAAAAATACGAAATGGATTGAAATAGGTAATATCCGGAACAAGAACTGTATGACCCTCGAAATAGTGGAAAATGTACCATAAGATCTGTTTGTTCAGGATTGCATTGCTTGATGAAGGAGTGACAAACTAAGTTAAGAGGCGCTCTGCTTTGGCATTGACAGCGAAGGGCAAGTTTCTCAATCCATAGAAAGACAAAGAT